CCCTGTTAGTGGGTTTATAATGATAACCCTAACACAGTTCACACAGTCATCATCAGTATTGGGGTTAACAATTTTAGTCATAATCATAATTCCTCTATCAATGTCCTTGAGTGGCCCAGCCAGAGCCCGGACTTGAACCTGATCTAACATCTCTGGAGACCTGAAAATAACTGTGCAGTGACACTCCCTATCCAACCTGACAGAGCTTGAGAGGATCTGCAGAGATGAATGGGAGAAACTCCCAAATACAGGTGTGCCAAGCTTGTAGCGTCATACCCAAGAAGACCCGATGCTGTAATCGTTGCCAAAGGTGCTTCAACAAAGGACTGAGTAAAGGGTCTGAATACTTATGTAAATGTAATATTTCCATTTTTTATTTGTAATACATTTGCAAACATTTCTAAACCTGTTTGTGCTTTGTCATTATGTGGTATTGTATGTAGATTGATGAGGGAAAAACAACAATGTAATCCATTTTAGAATATGGCTGTAACGTAACAAAATGTGGAAAAAGTCAAGGGGTCTGAATACTTTCCGTAGGCACTGTAACTGAACAGCACTTCCCTTTCACCTCTGGGTAGCCGTCCAGTCTCCACACACACTCCTGTTGCCATTAGGCGTACACACACACACACACACACACACACACACACCTACCTGTTGCTATTAGGACCAAACGTGCGCATGTGTGTTTACAACATGAATATCATATGCATGTTGTCATATGCTGCAGGTGTACTCCTGTATTGGAGAAGTATACTAAACAAAAATATGAACTTACCATGTAAAGTGTCCCATGTTTCATGAGCTGAAATCAAAGATGCCAGATATTTTCCAGACACACAAAAAGCTTATTTCTCTCAAATGTTTTGCATAAATTTGTTTACATCCCTGTTAGTGAGCATTTCTCCTTTGCCAAGATAATCCATCCACCTGATAGGTGTGGCATATCAAGAAGCTGATTAAACAGTATGATGATTACACAGGTGCACCTTGTGCTGGAGACAATGAAAGGCCACTCTAAAATGTGCAGTTTTGTCACAGATGTCAAAAGTTTTGAGGGAGCATGTAATTGGCATGCTGACTGCAGGAATGTCCACCAGCACTGTTGCCAGACAATTTAATGTTAATTTCTCTACCATAATCCTCCTCCAACATTGTTTTAGAGAATTTGGCAGTACGTCCAACCGGCCTCACAACCGCAGACCACGTGTAACCACGCCAGCCCAGGACCTCCACAACTGGCTTCTTCACCTGCAGGATGGTCTAAGACAAGACACACGGACAGCTGATGAAACTGTGGGTTTGCACAACCAAATAATTTCTGTTCAAACTGAAGGCAAATTATTTACGCCTCCTCCCGGACCAGGCCAAAATTCCTGTCATTCGCATGAAGAGGAGACGCCGATACAGGGGGCGCAGATCCGGGTGCTTGGTGAGAAGTAGTTGGCGAGTGGATAATCCACCTTTACCATCCGTCCTACTGGCGAATGTGCAATCACTGGAGAATAAACTGGATGAGCTCTGTTAGAGACTATCCTACCAACGGGACATTTAAAACTGTAATATCTTATGATTCACCGAGTCGTGGCTGAACAAGGACGTGGATAATATACAGTTGGCTGCGTTTTCCATGCATCGGCAAGACAGAACAGCAGCCTCCAGTAAGATCAGGTGTGGTGGTGTGTGTCTCTTTGCCAATAACAGCTGGTGCGCAAGCTCTAATATTAAGGAAGTCTCGAGGTTTTGCTCACTTGAGGTAGAGTACCTCATGATAAGCTGTAGACCACACTTTTTACAAGAGTTTTCATCTATATTACATTTCATAGCTGTCTATTTACCACCACAAACCAATGCAGGCACTAACACCGCACTCAACGAGCTGTATAAGGCAAACAAGAGAATGCTCACCCAGAAGCGGCGCTCCTAGTGGCCAGCGACTTTAATGCAGGAAAACTTCAATCCATTTTACCTCATTTCTACCAACATGTCACATGTGCAACCAGAGGGGGGGAAAAACTCTAGACCACCATTACTACACACACAGAGACGTGTACAAAGCTCTCCCTCACCCTCCATTTGGCAAATCTGACCATAATTCTATCCTCCTAACTTCTGCTTACAAGCAAAACTCAAGCAGGAAGTACCAGTGACTCGCTGAATACAATGAGACAGCCTACAGGGAGGAGGTCAGAGACCTGGCAGTGTGTTGCCAGGACAACAAACTCTCCCTCAACGTGAGCAAGACAAAAGAGGTGATCGTAGACTACAGGAAAAGGGGGTCCGAGCACGCACCCATTCACATTAATGGGGCTGTAGTGGAGCGGGTCGAGAGCTTCAAGTTCCTTGGCATCCATATCACTAACAAACTATCATGGTCCAAACACACCAAGACAGTTGTGAAGAGGGGATGACAATGCCTATTCCCTCTCAGGAGACTGAAAAGATTTGGCATGGTCTCCAGATCCTCAAAAAGTTCTGCAGTTGCACCATCGAGAGCATCCTGACTGGTTGCATCACCGCTAGGTATGGCAATTGCTTGACATCTGACCACAAGGCGCTACAGAGGGTAGTGCGTACGGCCCAGTAGATCACTGGGGCCAAGCTTCCTGCCATCTATGACCTCTATACCAGGCGGTGTCAGAGGAAGGCCCTAAATATTGTCCAGCACCCTAGTCATAGACTGTTCTCTCTGCTGCCACATGGCAAGCGGTACCGGAGCGCCAAGTCTAGGTCCAAAAGGCTCCCTAACAGCTTCTACCCCCAAGCCATAAGACTGCTAAACAGTTAATCAAATGGAATCCCAGACTATTTGCATTGACCCCCTTTTTTTAAGCTGCTGCTACTCGCTGTTTATTATCTACAGTTGAAGTCGGAAGTTTACATACACTTAAGTTGGAGTCATTAAAACTCATTTTTCAACCACTCCACAAATGTCTTGTTAACAAACTATAGTTTTGGCAAGTCGTTTAGGACATCTACTTTGTGCATGACACAAGTAATTTTTCCAACAATTGTTTACAGACAGATTATTTCACTTATAATTCACTGTATCACAATTCCAGTGGGTCAGAAGTTTACATACACTAAGTTGACTGTGCCTTTAAACAGCTGGGAAAATTCCGGAAAATTATGTAATGTCTTTTAGAAGCTTCTGATAGGCTAATTGACATCATTTGAGTCAATTGGAAGTGTACCTGTGGATGTATTTCAAGGCCTACCTTAAAACTCAGTGCCTCTTTGCTTGACATCATGGGAAAATCTAAAGAAATCAGCCAAGACCTCAGAACAATATTGTAGACCTCCACAAGTCTGGTTCATTCTTGGGAGCAATTTCCAAACGCCTGAAGGTACCACGTTCATCTGTACAAACAATAGTACGCAAGTATAAACACCATGGCAGCACGCAGCCATCGTACCGCTCAGGAAGGAGATGCGTTCTGTCTCCTAGAGATTAATGTGCTTTGGTGCGAAAAGTGCAAATCAATCCCAGAATAACAGCAAAGGACCTTGTGAAGATGCTGGAGGAAACCGGTACAAAAGTATCTATATCCACAGTAAAATGAGTCCTATATCGACATAACCTGAAAGGCCGCTCAGCAAGGAAGAAACCACTGCTCCAAAACCGCCATAAAAAAGCCAGACTACGGTTTGCAACTGCACATGGGGACAAAGATCGTACTTTTTGGAGAAATGTCCACTGGTCTGATGAAACAAAAATAGAACTGTTTGGCCATAATGACCATTGTTATGTTTGGAGGAAGAAGGGGGGTCTTGCAAGCCGAAGAACACCATCCCAACCGTGAAGCACGGGGTGGCAGCATCATGCTGTGGGGGTGCTTTGCTGCAGGAGGGACTGGTGCACTTCACAAAATAGATGGCATCATGAGGAAGGAAAATTATGTGGATATATTGAAGCAACATCTTAAAACATCAGTCAGGAAGTTAAAAGCTTGGTCGCAAATGGGTCTTCCAAATGGACAATGACCCCAAGCATACTTCCAAAGTTGTGGATAAATGGCTTAAGGACAACAAAGTCAAGGTATTGGAGTGTCCATCACAAAGCCCTGACCTCAATCCTATAGAACATTTGTGGGCAGAACTGAAAAAGCGTGTGCGAGCAAGGAGGCCTACAAACCTGACTCAGTTACACCAGCTCTGTCAAGAGGAATGGGCCAAAATTCACCCAACTTATTGTGGGAAGCTTGTGGAAGGCTACCCGAAACATTTGACCCAAGTTAAACAATTTAAAGGCAATGCTACCAAATACTAATTGAGTGTATGAAAACTTCTGACCCACTGGGAATGTGATTAAATAAAAAAAAGCTGAAATAAATCATTCTCTCTACTATTATTCTGACATTTCACATTCTTAAAATAAAATGGTGATCCTAAAACAGCAAATTTTTACTAGGATTAAATGTCAGGAATTGTGAAAAACTGAGTTTATTTGTATTTGGCTAAGGTGTATGTAAACTTCAGATTTCAACTGTATGCATAGTCACTTTACCCCTACCTACATGTACAAATTAGCTCAATTACCTCGACTAACCTGTACTCCCGCACATTGACTCGGTACCGGTACCCCCTGTATATAGCCTATATACCCCCCCCCCCCCCCCCCCCCCCCCCCCTCTCTCCCTGTAACTATTCCCCAGGTCGTTGCTGTAAAGGAGAATGTCTTCTCAGTCAACTTACCTGGTAAAATAAGGGTTAAATAAATCAAATCAGAAACACACATTTGCTACACAGTGGTGTAAAAGTACTACTTAAGTCGTTTTTTGGAGTGTCTACTATTTTACTTTTACTTCACTACATTCCTAAAGACAATAATGTACTTTTTACTCCATGCATTTTGAACATGGCTGTTTTTAGGTAGGGCCAAGAGGTCACAGTGATAATGTTCTGGCAATTTCCTTGAGCAACCAAAAAGGGTGTTTTGAAAAGCCATGTAAAATAATAGATTTTTCTAATTGTTCTATCACCTTTTGGACACACACATGTCAAACACCACCACCACTGCAGAAGCTCCAACCTATCCAAACTGCTCTCTCGTGCCCCCTCCAGGTCTGTCAGAGGAGTGCAGGGTGCAGACCCCGGCCTTCACAGATGCGGTGCGACTCCACAGGCAGGCTCAGGGACACTACGGCACCTGGGACATGATGTGTGGAGGGCCACCACAGGTGAGAGGAACACTATAGAGATGGCTCTAGCTTTTGAGGACTTTATTAGTCAATCTCATTTCATTTGAATGTATTCTGAATTAGTGATGCTAACGCCTTACAGTATGTACTGTATTCAGGTTTGCTTACCAAAGTTCAGGAGCAATCTTACAGCAGGTCATTCCTGGCCTTAGCTAAACCTCTTGAGTGGTCAGTGGCCATGATGGATGTCAGTCAGGCAGCCGGTGTGTATTTCAGAGCTGTTTGTTGAGGATTGACTGTTTTTATCTGAGAGTACAGGTGGAAGGAGAAAATACTCTTCCCCCTGAGAAAACCGTATAGAGACATCTTGTACCTCACCACCTCCCTCTGTCAGTTTGGCCAGACTCCTGCTCCTCTGGGTGGGGTCTCCCTTAAAAGAGCCCCTTTCAGACTCCCCCTCTCTGTTTCTTACCCCTGCTTGGGTGGGAACAGTCTCCTACTCAGGCTCAGGTGTGGCCCTGCCTGGTTTTCTATGGTCTTCCTTTCAAATAGCCTGTTCCTTTCTTCTCACTAGCTCCATTTCACTCATATTCTTCCCCCGATTCTCATCAACACTTCCCACTGTCTCTGTAGACCTGTTTGTGGCTACTGTGGGACTGGGAGTGGGTTTTTTGCTTGCTACTACTGTAAAGGGCTACTACTGTAAAGGTAGCAGGAGGGACTAAGCTGGTCAAAAGTATTGCACTGTAAATGGAATAGGGTGCCATTTGGGACGCAGGAACTGTTACTCTGTGAAGTCCTGAAGTGATCTCACTTACTCAGTAGAAATGAGACACTAAACTTTAAAGGGGTCCCAGTGTTGGGCATTAGTAGGTCTGCATCTGAAATGGCACCATAGTCCCTATATAGTGCACCCTACACTGGCCCTGGTCAAAAGTAGTGCACTATAGGGAATAGGGTGCTATTCGGACAGGCACCCTAGATTTATCATGTCAATATCATGGCCCTGTGTATACTGAACAAACATATAAACGCAAGATGTAAAGTGTTGGTTTCATGAGCTGAAATAAAAGACACCAGAAATTTTCCATACGCACAAAAAGCTTATTTCTCTCAAGTTTTGGGCACAAATATGTTTACATCCCTGTTAGTGAGCATTTCTCCTTTGTCAAGATAATCCATCCACCTGACAGGTGTGGCATATCAAGAAGCTGATTAAACAGCATGATCATTACACAGGTGCACCTTGTGCTGGGAACAATAAAAGGCCACTCTAAAATGTGCAGTTTTGTCACACAACACAATGCCACAGATAATTGAATGTTCATTTCTCTACCATAAGCCTCCAACGTCGTTTTAGAGAATTTGGCAGTACGACCAACCGGCCTCACAACCGTAGATCACGTGTATGACGTTGTGTGGGCGAGCGGTTTGCTGATGTCAACTTTGTGGACAGAGGGCCCAATGGTGGCGGTGGGTTATGGTATGGGCAGGCATAAGTTACGGACAACGAACAATTGCATTTTATCGATGCCAATTTGAATGCACAGAGATACTGTGACGAGATCCTGAGGCCCATTGTCGTGCCATTCATCCGCCGCCATCCCCTCATGTTTCAGCATGATAATGCATGGCTCCATGTCACAAGGATCTGTACACAATTCCTGGAAGCTGAAAATGTCCCAGTTCTTCCATGGCCTGTTTTGGATGCTCTGGATCGACGTGTACGACAGTGTGTTCCAGTTCCCGCCAATATCCAGCAACTCCGCACAACTTCGCCATTGAAGAGGAGTGGGACAACATTCCACAGGCCACAATCAACAGCCTGATCAACTCTATGCGAAGGAGATGCATGAGGCAAATGGGGGTCACACCAGAAACTGACTGGTTTTCTGATCCACGCCCCACAAGTATCTGTGACCAACAGATACATATCTGTATTCCCAGTCATGTGAAATCCATAGATTAGGGCCTAATGAATTTATTTCAATTGACTTGATTTTCATTATATGAACTGTAACTGAGTAAAATATTAGAAGTTGTTGCATGTTGCGTTGTATATTTGTGTTCAGTATAATAACAGCTGTCCTGGAAGGAGTAATAGTGTGTTTCTAGCCTAGGTATTGTTAGTTACCCCAGAGCATCACAGGCCTCCTAAAACATGTACTGTACCTCACCAACCACACAGTAGTCTTATATGGACATCTATGGACAAGGAAAACATATTCTGCATGTCATGTAGCTAGCCGCAGTGTTCAGCTCCAATATGCTGCCTGGACCACATTGAGACCATTATTCAAGTGTGTCTAAAGAAGAGTGGGCCAAGTCAAACCCTGGTCCAAGCATATTCAATTAAAACACGTGAGTTATGGTTTTATATTCTGCAGCCAGGGCAAGCCAAGACTACTGCACATTTAGATGGATACTGACTAAATGCTGTGATTTATTTTTTTATATATTATTTATACCCTGAATTATTTTCTATTTAATGGAAATGGAGAACTGGCTCTCTGACAAACCCACTCCCAGCAGATTTATGAGTGTGTGAGAATTTTACTGCAGGTTAGGGAGAAAATAGTCTATCATGACGTTCTGGGTGCTGAGATTAGAGAGAAAAGACCATAACACTGAATACATATGATATTACAGTTTTTAATTCAGTCAGTTGACTTTTCACAGAAAAATCTATTACAGGCCTTTAAACGATTTGGTGTTGTATCAGATATGTATTGTATGGTACCTTGTATTGGGAAGGGCACTTTACTCATACATTTAGTGATTATTGTGTAGAGGAGCCACATAATGCTGTTTCTCATTGTAGTGTTTCAACATCACTGCCCTCTTTCCCACTTCCATGGACATGTACTGAATCCTCAGAAGCACACACCACTCAACCCATTCATATAAATGTAGTTGACTCTGAAGTTGTTCCTGCACTCTACAGGTTGAGTTGTGTGTTTGTTGCCGTTCTGTTTGAAGTGTCACAAAGATTAACTGTGACACAACACCTTGTCATTTTCTCTGTTGTGGAAACACCTGACTCAAACAACAAAGCTTCTCTGAAGTCTCATTATTTTACTTAATGCCAAGTTTTGCCAACCACTAGTTATTTATAGAGACGCATCCTACACACACTTTAAAGATTGTGTATGTGATAATGCATAAAGTGTTTGCTTTTGTCTCCACCGTGTGTGTGTGTGTGTGTGTCTCACACGTAGATCCTAGCCAACCTAGTGATGGAGACTCTCCATCCAGAGTTGAGGAATCTGATTGGTCCTCGTCTGAAGGGGAAGATGCAACAGCGACAGAGGAACTGGATGCTGGTGAGTTGTTGTCCCACCTACATGCTGCACTGTGTTCTTTCCTAGGACCTGGAGTTTACCCCGACCACATGCTACGTTTTTCCCATTCAGGTGACATAGTCAGGAAAACTCCTGAACCAACCATTCCTAACCACATTGCGGATTGCGCCAGTGTCCCAAATGGCACCCTATTCCCTACAGAGTGAATTTACACTACGATAGATTCCCGAGAGCTATCGGAAAAAGTACCCGTGGCTAGACGTATTACAATATTGTAAAGACTAGAATCTCGATTCATTTTCACGTCTCGTACGCCACCTCCGTGTGCGAGACTGCCCCTAGACATGCCCCCTCCAAGCAGTCAATGTAAACAGAATTGTATCCAAGGGAAATGCTTGCTCCTACGGTAAAAATCTTAATAGCAGAGTAATGTTTTTGAAACAGCTGAAATGTATAGACGTTTACCTTATATTTTAGACTTGTTTTATAGATGTTTTACCTGGAATTGCTGTAATAGCCAGTTACTCTCAAATTGTCGCCGTAGCTTTAAGGGAATCTCAGAGCACAGCAAGCAGGAACTGCAAGCAGAAACTCCCCAGGGAATTGCCAATTTAATGATTTGCATGATATTGATCAAATGAAGCCTGGTTTGTTCTAAGGTGACTTCAATACACTAAAGTTGTAGCTAATGTAAGCCTAAAAGCTATTTAGCTATGGTTCAGCTAATGTAATGGGCCCTGGTCAAATGGCCCTCATCCCAAATGGCACCCTGTTCCCTAAATAGTGCATTACATTTGACGTGCCTACATAGAGCACTAATTTTGACCAGAGCCCTATGTGCCCCAGTCAAAAGTAGTGCACTTTGTAGGGAATAGGGTGCCATTTGGGACGCAGATGGTGTGTTCACCCACTCTCTCTCTCTCTGTCCCTCTCCAGATCTCTGAGGCGGTGTATAAGCAGGTGTTGTCTCAGACTCAGGCCCAGTATGAGGCTTTAGTCCAGGCCTGTGAGGTTGAGACATCCCGTCTAGACGCAGTGTTACGCACAGACATGGACCAGATAATCACCTCCAAGGAACACGTCAGCGGCAAGATCCGCGGTGAGACACACACGCACACACGGCACCCATAGGAAACACTCCTTATACATAGGCTGATATGTAGACTTCATCCAAATCGGGACTAAAAGAGATCCTAATCAAATTACACTGTATTAGTTCTCTCAACAATGGCACTTCTGCAGTCTTAGCGTCTGTAATGTCCATTGTTAGGCTGCCTACCGTTAGGCTGCCTACCGTCATTTCTAGTGGTTTTGGTTTGTTGAGTGTAGAGCTAAGGGCTTATTGGCACAGTAAAGCAGTAAGACCAGTTATTGGCTGCGTCCCAAATGGCACCCTATTCTCTACATAGTGTACTACTTTTGACCAGAGCCTTATGGGCCCTGGTCAAAAGTAGTGCACTATATAGGGAATAGGGTGCAATTTAGGATGCACACATTGAGTAACACTACAGTATTGGCCTATGGCATCATGTTACTGGTGAATTTCTATGGACACTTGTCACTAGAGGGCTCCTGTACTGTAACTGACCCTCCCTTTCCCTCTCAGATTTCAAACTTCTCCTCTGTTTCTTTACTCTCTCACACTTTCTCTCTCTCTCATCCCTTACTCCCATCTCTCTCTTTCTTTACCTCCTCTTAGCTCACTTTCTCATGCTCTTGTCTGTCTGCCTGCTTGCTTTAACCCTGAAGCACCTTTCACTATTTTATTCTAGCACCCAGTCACCATTCCACCTAAAAAGGACTTGGCAAAGGGCTTTTTATTTTTTCTCTCTTTCTCGTGTTTTGTTTCCCATGGAGCCAATGTTGAAGGACTTCATTCCTTAGATGTCACTGGAGGCCAATGTTCACTTTATCCCACTGGTACACTTGACAGGGCTCAGGGCTCACAGGTCCACTATGTGATGGAGGAGCGGCTTTCCATGGAGGAACTTTAAATGTCTTTGAACTTTCGAGTTGGTTTAACGTTGGACCAGAGCAAACTAACCAGAGCTAGGCTTGTGTGTGCAGAGCAGCACTATAATTAAAAACATGTCTTACCTTTTTGTAGTTAATAAATCCAATGTGAAACGTGATAACTATAGTATCCTTAACTAGCATTGGAAAGTCAATCCATTCTTCTCTAATTAAACGGCTCTCCCTGATTTCTGAATTACGCTTGTAATGTTGTCAGTAGGCTACAGTAACCTATGCTTCAGAGGGGAGAGGCAGGTAGCCTACACACGTACACACACCCACTGGCAAAGATTTCTAGCTGGCAGGCAGGCGCTGGAATATGTTTCTGAGTGACAGAGTGAGTGCTTTGCATAGGTGCTTTGTTGTGATTTTTGTGGGACTGAAAAAAATGCCTGGAACGTAAAATAACATTATTAACCAGTTTCCACGCTTTTAAAATAACGGTTCTGTTCCGGAACAGTATAGATCATTTTCATTTCCAGTTCGAGTTCTGTTCCTCAAATAATTTCATTATTTTCCGGTTTTCTGTTCTGTTCCCTGAACCTGTTCCAACCCTTGCTTTCCTCCAGACGTTTCAGTCTGATGCCTTTGGGTAATGCTTAGTGGACTAAACACCCCTCCAGGTTTAGGACATGTATGATGAACTTCACCAACGGAGTGGAGCCGAGACGAGGCTTTGCGGAATCTAGCTCCAACTACATTGATTCACCCAAGGTCAAAACGTACAGTTATGAAACGCCCACCTTGTACTTTTGTTTGTCCTCTGTAGTTGCATGCCTTTCTTTGTTTGGTGAAATCCATACTTTTTCAATAAACGTTAATCAAATGCCACCACCGACTGTTTCCTTTGATGAGATTCAATTGGCACATGCGGATTTGCGCTGAGTTGAAATCTTAGAGCAACACCAATGAGCAAACAGTTGGTGGTTGTATTTGATTAACATTTATTAGAAAAGTATGGTTTCAGCGAACCAAGAAAGGCATGCAACTACAGAGGACAAACAAGGTACAAAGGCATTTCGTAATTGTACTTTTTTAAAGTATTGACCTTGGGCGAATCGATGCATTCAGAGCTAGATTCCATAAAGCCTGGTCTCAGATCCACTCCATTGGTGAAATTCATCAGAAACTTCCTTCACCATGGAATGGAGTTTAGGACGCTAGGTAATGTTCTGGGTAATACTGTGGTCTGGCTTCGTGTAGCTCAGTTGGTAGAGCATGGCGCTTGCAACGCCAGGGTTGTGGGTTCGTTTCCCATGGGGGGGCCAGTATGAAAATGTATGCACTCACTAACTGTAAGTGGCTCTGGATAAGAGCGTTTGCTAAATGACTAAAATGTAAAATGTAAAATGTCTGGAAGTGTGGGTGTTTACTGTCTACTGACCACCATTGTGACTAACCATACTCCTCCATGTCTCCCCACTCCGTAGCTTTGGTGTTCCCCAGGGCAGAGCAGCTCCTGCGGGGCAGCGTCCAGCCCTACCTCAGCTCCATCCTGGAGGCCCTGATGGAGCCCACCAGCCGAGGCTTTTCCGAGGTCCGAGACGTCTTCTTCAGAGAGCTGGTGGAGGTCAGCAAGAACACGCTCAACGGAGGGGGCAAGGACAAACTGGGGGAGGTTAGTGGACCACCGGACTTGACACACCAGAGGGGTTCGCAGGGACCCTAGGGAATTGTCCTTGGTGACTGTTCAATAAAATGTACTGTAGCTCTGTCTTGGAGGATCAATTTAAGTGATCTGTGTTGCCAAGTCCTCATCTCATCCATGTCTGTCTGTCTGTCTGTCTTTATCCCCCCCTCACTCTCTCACCCCCCCCCCCCCCCCCCCCCCCCCCGCCCCCCACACCTCTTTCTCATTCGCTCCCTCTATGTCTCCTTCTTTCCCCTCGCCCCTCTCACCATCACTCTCTCGCTCTCAGCACATGGACAAGATCTCTATGCTGGCGTTCCACCCGGTGAAGATGCAGAGCTGCTATGAGAAGGTGGAGCAGCTGAGTCTGGAGGGACTACAGCAGAGGTTTGATGTGTCCAGCCCCTCCGTGTTCGTCCAGAGGGCTCAAATCCTCATGAGAGAGGTGAGACCTTAACCCACAAATCCCACCACCTAGTCGGCATGGATGTGCTCTGCCACACCAGACTACCAACACTGTAGTTTTTAGTTATCTGATGCTGTGTTCATAACCAAGTGGGAAGGTGGTAATTTCCAGTTGTGAAGTAGTAAATATGAGTTGGATGCATTCACGTGTTTTGAACTCATTGAGAAACGCCAATTGGCTAATGGCAAACAAGTGTGTCAACCATAAAATAAAAGTACAGCTATCATAAGCTACGTTAGATCAGTAGGAATATTTTTTCCCCCACTTATGTCCTCTCTTCTCTGTGTAACAGCAAATGGCCAATGCTGTCTACACGTTTGAGCATCTGCTCCACCAGAGTCTGGAGGGAAAGGTCCAGGGAGGAGAGGACCTGTGTAAGACCATCCACTGCTGTCAGGACAGAGTGCTCAAGGTTCGTAGTTAGACTGAGGGTGGATTAGGATGAAGGAGAATGACTGGATTGATTGATTGATTTAATGGATGAATTGATTAAGAATAGATTGGCCATCAATACGGTTCCATATTCCAGTTACTTTCCCAAAATTCTGGTTGGAGGATTCCAGATTTCCCACCTGATACCAGGAATATTCCAATTGGGACGACGGAAAACCTGGGAATTTGGGAAAGTTGATGGAATTTTGCAACCCTTGCCATCAAGGATTAGAGAGTCTAAGGTCTTGTGTCTGTGTCCCTCTGTCTGTCCGTCCCCGTCAGAAATATGACTATGACAGTAGCACGGTGCGTAAGAAGTTCTTCAGAGAGGCCCTGCTACAGATCATTATCCCCTACATGCTGAAGCAGCTCTCTCCCTCCTGCCATCTGGTGAGGCTCACTGTATATAGTAGCTTATTGTTTTTTATGCTCAAGTCTCACTAAGACACTGATACCCCTCAGACTCTAGCCACCCCTATGGCACCCTATAACCTCTGGTCAAGAGTAGTGCACTATATAGGGACTGGGGTGCCACTTGGGACGTTGGCTGTGTTGAGTGCAGTCGTCTGTAACCTCTCATCTCCTCCCTCTCAGGACCTCCCTCGCTTCCAGGAGCTGATCTTTGAGGACTTCTCCCGGTTCATCCTGGTGGAGAACGTGTTTGAGGAGGTGGTGCTGCAGTCTGTCACCAAGGACATCATGATGGGTGAGTGGTGGACACGCATGGAGACGCTGGCCTGGCATAGACTAGATAATTGGAGAGTCCATTCACAAAGCATCTCAGAGTAGGAGTGCTGATATAAGATCAGTGTTTTTTTTTTTTAATTTTATCATACTGAATAACATTATATGGACATCTTAGATCAGCAGATTCAGCAGTGTTATTCTGAGGCGATTTGTGATACGGCCCTGATGTAAATGTGATACAACTGAACTGTTAGCATGGTAGTGATTCTCTCTCCCCTCTGTGTGCCTACAGCTGTGAAAGAGGCGGCGGTCCAGAAGAGACACAACCTGTACAGAGACAGCATGATCCTAACCAACAGCGACCCCAACCTCCACCTGCTGGGGGAGAACCCCTCGGTGGACTGGGCCACCCAGTTCAGGGGTGGGAATGAGGAACCTGAGGGGGCCTTGGGAGGAGGCGGCCAGTCCAGCAGGAGGCGCAGGCAAGTGGTCTCCATGATCCAGCTGGACGAGATGGGTCCGCTGCCCTACGAGTCATGCCTGGAGGTGCCGGGGGTGGACTTCATCCCTGAGGAGGGAGAGATGGAGGAGGAGGTGGAAGTGGAGGTTAAAGCTCAGGAGCCCAAGGAGCCAGAGACCCCCACGGAACCAGACCACCCCAAGGGGCCTGATTCTCCAGACAGCATGCAGGAGATCCGTTACCTCATCAAACCGGTGGTGGAGATGGTGGTCCCGGCTTCAGAGGAGGACATAGCTGTTCTCACCAATGGGACAGGGACGCTGACGCTGGAGGATGGGAAGGAGGAGGAGGTGACACTCATCACCACCTTGGTGGAGATGCACAGGAAGTCACCACAGTGGATGAGCGCCCCACAGGAAGTGAGCGAGCAGCTGGTAGAAACAGGAAGTCCAGACCAGGAAGCTGAGGGGGGGCTTCAGGAAAAGGGGGAGGCAGCTATTGAGGACAAGGGGGAGGAAGACGAGGCGGCCATCAAGAACACCATACAGGAAATAGAGATAGCGGTACAGGAAGAGGACGGAAAGAGGATAACTGAGTGTGCCGTATACTCTGACGCAGAGCTGGCCCCGCCATTGGCCGACTCCAGCCCCTGGGGCCATGATGACAGCAGGTTCCAGTCGCCGACGAATGAGGTCTTGGATGAGGGCAAATCTCAGCTAATCATGGATGCTCTGAAAACAGAGGATACTGTAGTCGACCCAGGAGAGGTGGTGGTGGTTTTAGAGCAGGGAGACACTGCACTTCACAACGACTCCGAGACCAGGGAGGACTTCACTGGGAAAACCGCAGAGTGCGAGACAGAAATGTTATATGAGATTTGAATGGGAGGACAAACGTTTTATTTTTGTCGGTGTTAACTGATCATTCCTGACCCCTCAGCATTGTTTTATGGTTATAATGCCGACAGTCACATCTACAACAGTGGCCAATTCAACTGTGACTCCCAACCTCTCTCATCTGGAGTCATGTTTGTTCGTTTAATTTCTCTTAACTTTACATTTTATTTGACTCTATTCCTCAAGCGTTTGTGTATGACACTGAACCCCAGGTATCTGGGAAAAATGTATGCACTCACTAACTGTAAGTCTCTCTGGATAAGAGCGTCTGCTAAATGACTAACATGTAAAATGTAAATCTGCTGCATTATCCTTAGATTGTGTGGTCACTAAGAAGTAAGGAATTTAAATAATTTAAGTCAGAATTGGATAAGGGATGTGGGGAGAATTGCAGATGCAGAAGATACACATTACACTACAGAGGCCTATCTGCAAGGGCCCTAAGGATATGTTCACAGATGCCTGACATAGGTAGTTATAACTCTATGGTGCATGGGCGCAGTCACACACCCACTGGTCATTGCATGACCTTTTATTCAGCAGTAGGGGGCACTGTAGGCAGGCGGTTGACGCAAACAGTCTGGCATGTCTTCCTACTGTAATGGACATCGTTGTGTATAAACATATCATTATAGAGATGTAGCTATCATTGCATTCAGGGTCTGGGAGCTCTGCTTTTTAACATGTTTTTACATTGACTTAGCAACTTGTATAAAACCAGTCAGACATTGTGTCTTGAATAAGTGTAAGTTGAACCTCCTTTTGAACCATTATTTTCACAAGTGGCCTTATTGTTTCAACACTATATTTTTACAGTGCATGACTTCAGCATGAAATGGCACTTGCTTGCTTACTTATTTTCTATGTATGTTAGTCCAACCCTTATTTAGTGTGAGGGGAGCGGCTCAAATGGTAGCAGTCACTACAGTCGTATTATAGATGCTAGAGGTCCCATGTCGGCTATAGTGCTACTGAAATGCCACCGTCATAATTATGCTAACAGTTGTTACTAAAGGGACTCATCAGCAGAATCTCTCATTGAGATGGAATGTTCAGTCTGCGTGTGGGAGTGTGTGGTCTGGAAAACTGACAGCAGGCTATGTACCTTGTCATGAAGAGGCCTCTGTGTCAGTCTCTTCTGGCCAAACAACAAAGGGAATCATGGGGAAATAACCAAGTCTATATCAGGTTATTTTCCCCACTCTTTTAAATGAGGGAAATCAAATTATGATTATTTTCTAAACTATCAATGCTATGTTTATGGCCACTGTATATATTTGAAGGCACATTGTTCTTAATCAGGCTTAATCAGTTTGTAGCCTTGAGGAAAATATTTCCATGTAACGCCATGACTTAAAGGGTTAGTTCACTCAAAAAGTCAGTTTCCTTCCTCTTATTTATGACAAATACTGTGTGCTGCTCAATGCACCAGCCGCCGCTATATTCTTCATTTTATATGTAAAGCTCTATGCAAGATCTTTTTATTGGTTGTGTTTAGCTACATGTATGACTGAGTATATTTGTATGGATTAATAAATAAGTTGATTTATGGTTTTCCTATTGCTCATCTGTATCTCTAGACTAAAATGCATTTTCAAATCAATTAGATCATATTTGATTTTACCTGAAAAAAATCTTAAAAGGTTAGTGGTATTTATTGATAGTTAGAATAAAATGACACTAAAACAACAGTAAGCACGTTTTCATAAAGTCCCTATTAAACAAAACCACTTTAGAAGCCTTGTATGAGTAGTCGGTTATCTACTTTCAGTTGACTTTATAGATCAATTGGATATGAAAAAAAATGTATTGCGTTCATCCATGTTTTCAAACTAGGCTACTGGATAATTCAACAGAAAATAGCTAATTAAATGAAAATATGCATCTGAAATGTTTATTGGATATCAAAGGCACTAAATAGTTGGTTTCTCTAGTGGCTCTCTTGCAAATGATTAACAAAAGCAACATGACAATATTGAACTCAAGCACTATAGCTACTAACGGGCCCTGCTCAAAATGATGACTGTGGATATGTATATTACAGTAGTACATAGTACAGGGTAACAGTTGCCTTGCTTGAACACATGTAAAACTTCATGAAACTTCTCGTGATAAAAAGGTACCATGGGTGTGCTCGATCACTCATCTACCATGCTATACTCTGTGTACATCTGTGTCACTATATGGAAGTCTCCATCTTGCTTTTTACTTCTCACATCTACATTAAGATCATGTATAAGTAGGGAAGAAATACTGGAACTACCTTCCACTTCAGGTAACTTGATAAGCGACACAGTCACAGGAAGATATATTGCCCATCAGTGCACAGCAGAGTCAGAATGACAAACACCATGGGAGGTTCTACGATATGCTCTTCAGAGCACATCTTTGACCAACAGGTATGGGATATTTAGTCCCTGTAGATCTATAGTCCAGGAAAAGGACTCTTGATTCCTATGTTTGATCAGATTTGACCCAGTAGAGGGACCCCTATGAAGTATCCCAGGACAGAGCCCAAGATGACCCCCAGGAAGATCCAGGTATTGTAGGACATGACACACAGCATCAGCATGTAGGCCAGAGTCACCTGCAGGATGTGCAGGGCTGTCTGGATACCATGGAGACGCCATCTGGTGGAGAGGAGACAGAAGAGTGATATACTCCAAATCGGTATTCATGTCATAGGAAGGAATTTCCCCTCGACCACCACCCACAAATTGGGGAAAACAAACATTATTTCCTATTGACCCCCACTGTAAAAGAGTCAACTTCGTCGTAAATTTGTTATACAGAAATAACAAAACATGCCGAAAAGCTTCGGTGTTGTTCAATGTACATGTAATCAGGTAAAAAAATCACGACCTATGGGTTGCAATGCTCCCACGTAGGGAAACGGAGCCTGCTAGAAGAACCCTGTGGCTTCAGGATATTCGGTGTGGGAAATGTGGGGACCCGGTGTCCAAGTAGGCTACACGTAGCTATGTGTGAGGAAAACATTTCATCACAGGTAAGCCATTTAACTTGTTTAGTATAAACTGTTGAACTCCACTCACTACTTGTAGCTGTATAGTCCGTTTGTTTGTGTTGTTGTTCTTTGCTAGCTTAATGTTCCAGTTGGTAGCTCACGTGCTGCTAGCACCCTCATGAAAAGGGGCATGAGGGAAGTCCTACAATATTACATTTTTCTAAGTAGTGAGAATGCGCGGGAGCAGGCAATGTTGAAAAGTAATCTTCAGCCTTATTTTTCTTAAATGTAGTTTAACTAAATAAAACAAGCAGACAAGAAAATTGCATCTGAAAAAGGTCAAGTTTTTGCTGTGAGTCAATGGGATAACCTAGGTAACCACAGGTTGTTTTCCCCACAGGCGGGCGGGGCGGGGCCGCGACGTTCTATCCAATACCAACTGGGACTACTGCAGTACTCTTTATCATTATATAGAGGTGCACAGTTCAGGTTCTCATGGGTCTAATTATCAGCTGTTATTTGTTCATATAATTTCAGTGCATTATGTAGGCCTGGGAAACCAGGTGCATGTGTAACATGTGTGAAATGGCTAGCTAGTTAGCGGTGGGCGCTTTTCAATCGGTGATGTCACTCGCTCAGACCTTGAAGTAGTCGTTTACCTTGCTCTGCAAGGGATGTGGCTTTTGTGGAGCAATAAGTAACAATGCTTTGTGGGTGACTGTTGATGTGCTCGAACCAGGGACCCTCTGAACACAAGTTGGGGCAAGGAGACGGACGGAAGCATACAGTTACATGCACACTCTGGCCAATTTGTGAACCGGTAGATTAAAGCCAGCATCCCTGGAACATGTTAATTACAGAAAACTACATGGGCTCCTGTGTGAATCCTACCTGTTCATGGGAGAGGGAGTGCGAGCATTCCATTTCGTGGGGGCCAGAGAAGACTCCGACAGGCTACTGGCTAACACAGCGCTGCTTCCCTGGCAGTCTGAGGAGGGGAGGGGAGGGGGTAAGGGCAGTGGGAAGGCTGGCTGAGTGGGCTGCTCTAAGGTCTTCCCCAGCTGGACCTTCCAGACCTTCAGCAGCTCGTAGAACACTGCCAACAGGATGACCACGAACACAGACAGCACCATCCCTGCTAACACATTGACCACAGAGCTTATCATGGCTGACGGCAATAATGGTCATCAACAGTGACCACAGCTCTGTCTGGAGCTATACATAGTACTGTACAGACAACTGTGACCTAATCTAAGAATGTAAGAAATCAGTGCATCCATCACTAGGGGCCCTATTGAAACAGATCTAAAATAGCTCATTTGCAAGAAATTAATGTGTTGTACCTGAAACACTATGCAGGATGAATGGGGTAAACTGTGTATTCACAATACAATGGAGTCACCCTTACAAAAAAAGATAGCAGTTTTGAAACTGCAGTAAATGTGCAGTAACTGCAGTCGACTGTGGTATTTTGGACGCAGTAATTGCAGAATAACTGCAGTTATACAGCAAAACTACTGCAGTAAAAAAAATTGGGACGCAGTATTTGCATCATACTACAGTTATACTGCACTCTGACTGCAATATTGTTTTGTAAGGGCAACCAGACAAACAGTTTCTGAAATATATTATTTACTGTGTAGATTCTGCCGAGGACACGGGTCTGTCATCAATGTTAGCCTACCTGCGGGTCTGTGCACAACCCAGAAGTCAAACAGTAGCGTCACTCTACTCCCTGCCTCGAAGGTCATCTGTATGAGAAAAGAGAGCCATATAACTATAATAAAGAACAGGCACAAGTAAAGCAGCAATATACTGCAAGGCAGCAGACCAGATCTGGGACCTGTGCAGCAAATCCTTAACCAATGAACACTGGTTACATCAACGAATGTTAAATATATAATGTACAAAATATTTTTTGCTGAGTCAGGTAGATAATGACAACACAGTATGCCAATCTGATGGTTTAGTAAACTGTAAAAAAAAATATATATATATATATATATATATATATATATATATATATATATATATACTGATAGGATCTAATTATTCCACAATACTGACGACGGATGAGAGATATGGGTTTCTTTGCAGGATAAGAATTGTCCTGACTTCCAAGAATGCCGGAATTGCTTCACCTTGCTTTTCTGGTTGTTTCACCATTCAATTTTTTCAAATCTAGAGGAGTGCAAGTTTCACCATGACACGAACCGTGGGGATACGTTGGTACATAATAATGTCAATTCTTGCATTCTATCCCATGCTGGCTTTCGCGGGCTACCTGGGCCATGAAACAGATAGATGGGAGGTCATACAGGCTGTCGCCAATTTATTCATGCACAATTTACCTGAATGGGTAATGAAAACACTTTTTTTTATTAGACATGGTAGGTTTTTGTGAATGTTTATTTTTTTAGGTGTGACGTCACTGTTTTTATCGACAAGATAGTGAAATGAAAACGCACCCTAGCAGGCAATTGTCGCATAAATGTTCTATGCAAACTTTCTAAATGTCGACAACAAATCCCTGGACAAGTTAATGGAAACATACTGTAGCTAGTGTCACAGAAAGATAGAAACATCTTGATTTTTGTGTTTAGCGGAGATCTTCTGTGTATAAAGTGACAAGAAAGGGCAAAAAAAAGCATTAACGATGTAGCTGTTCTAAGAGTGGACTGGTCTGAAGCAATCGTTAAATAACGAGCGTTTTCAATAGCAACTTTAGTAACAATGGTTAACGATGCTCTTACGAAGGTTTTTACGACGAACGTAGCCTTCAGATACTTTTGGGAAACTGGGCCTCGTACAATCTCAAAACCTCTCCTATCTGCCCCTGTACCTACCTTTGTCAGGTTTTGCATTCCAATAAAAAAGTGGTCTGTCTTCCAATCTATTCCAACAGACAATCGTTTGTGGCAATTAATGACAGAAGCCACACAATGCTTGGCGCAAACAGATACTGCTTTCACTGACACAGCAGTAGGCTACTATGGAAAGACAGCCCTGCCCTCCCTCATGAGCTTATCAGATGGTTTAATTACCAGGTAAAATTAGTTTATATAGGATATTCGGTTCTCTCTCGTGACTCGCTATTGAACCAAGCACGCCATGACATTGAAGACGGTATATTCTGAATCAGGGTGGATGGAGAAAAATCCACACCTTAATTTGTATATATTTTTTATAAATACTATTTCGGATTTCAATCTTCGATAGCTCTTACACAACGCATGCTATGACTATGAAAATGATATATTCTGAATCGGGGGAGGATGGACAAAAATGTAAACAATAACAAAATTAGAATATATTATTTTCATAGGCATGGCACGCATTGTCTAAGATCCATTAAATATTGAAAGCCCCCCCAAATTATCTACATTCCCCCCCCCCAAAAAAAAAAAAATGTGGATTTTTGTCCATCCTCCCATGATTCAGAATATATCTTTATCATAGTCTTGGAGCGCTTTGTGTAAGAGCTATTGAAGATTGAAATCCAAAATCTTTCTTCTTTTTTTTCTTACAAAAAAAAGTGTGGATTGTTCTCCATCCACCCGATTCAGAATTTTTATAGTCATGGCATGCTTGGTTCTAGCGCTTAAACTCTAGGCGGCATTCTGCCGTCTCCCTACAGTTCTCAGCCATTGTGAACTACAATCCCGATGCTGTGTTTTAACGTTTAGAAACGTCAATAATTATCGCTTGCGATACGGCTTTTGAAACATATGGCATGTGTCCTTTGACAGCTGTACTGGCTTAAGCAGGGGGACACGTCTGGCACTGCAGGATTTGAGTCCCTGGCAGCGTAGTGTGTTACTGATGGTAGGCTTTGTTACTTTGGTCCCAGCTCTCTGCAGGTCAATCACTAGGTCCCCCCGTGTGGTTCTGGGATTTTTGCTCACCGTTCTTGTGTTCATTTTGACCCCACGGGGTGAGATCTTGCGTGGAGCCCCAGATCGAGGGAGATTATCAGTGGTCTTGTATGTCTTCCATTTCCTAATAATTGCTCCCACAGTTGATTTCTTCAAACCAAGCTGCTTACCTATTGCAGATTCAGTCTTGCCAGCCTGGTGCAGGTCTACAATTTTGTTTCTGGTGTCCTTTGACAGCTCTTTGGTCTTGGCCATAGTGGAGTTTGGAGTGTGACTGTTTGAGGTTGTGGACAGGTGTCTTTTATACTGATAACAAGTTCAAACAGGTGCCATTAATACAGGTAACGAGTGGAGGACAGAGGAGCCTCTTAAAGAAGAAGATACAGGTCTGTGAGAGCCAGAAATCTTGCTTGTTTGTAGGTGACCAAATACTTATTTTCCACCATAATTTGCAAATAAATTCATTAAAAATCCTACAATGTGATTTTCTGGATTTTTTTTCTCAATTTGTCTGTCATAGTTGACGTGTACCTATGATGAAAATTACAGGCCTCTCTCATCTTTTTAAGTGGGAGAACTTGCACAATTGGTGGCTGACTAAATACTTTTTTCCCCCACTGTATTTAGCCTTCCTGAATTTTGTTTAAATCAAAGCACATTCTGCCTATTGGCGCACGCTGTTGAATTTTGGCCGCATGATACTTTTTTGGGACTGTTCAGCTAACCATCCTAAAATCTAAAGAAATTACCGGTAGGTGGTGTTTTTGGTGTAGCATTAACGTTATACTATGATACTATATTTGGTTCTGTTATGTAGAATACTAATGAATCATTATGTGATCTTCCAAGACATTGATTCAGCTTTGATCTAACTTTACTAAACAAGCACCATTGTAAGAAGTGTCGGCTCCGGTGTGCTCCAGCAGGCAGCACTACACCCCTGCAGTCCACTGCACCGAACAAGCAATTGAAGCACACCTAGCCTACTGTTTTTCCTTGCACAAAGTTTGGTGATGCAAAAACGAGAAAACACGTGTGGCTGTTTTATGAAAATCTGGTAACATTTGGCCAAGGAAACATTTCTGGTTGGTCTCAGGGAATGTAAAACAGTTAGGAAGTGAGACTTAAAACGGGATTGAGTGAAGTAGCAGCAAATATGGTTGAATGAGCATAGAGCACTTTTACAAGTTTGACAAAATTACCTTATCTTTCAGTCTAGTATGGCTATTTACTTAGTTTTGTAGCTCTTCATCAGATGCATGCAAGTAGTTAGGGCTAACTGTCCTCTCCAAGTTTAGCTGGAATTTAGCCCGAAAGGATTTGAGAAATAGGATTGGTTGATGATAGGCCTATGATATTGACCTATGCCTCATCTTGAACTGTGCAAAATATCAGATATCAACAACAATTGGAGAAGTGTTTAACATCACAAGTAGGTTTAGCCTACCACATCGTCTTTAGGGGGGAGTTGTGTTAAGAGCCCCAACGCTCAGTCGGAACATTAACATGCATCGTTTGCGGTATGGTTTTGGAAGCATAAGGACCTTATCTTTCATATCTGCGCGAAATAATTTCCCAAAAACTAAAGGTTAAATTCATACACACCTTTTATAGGGTTAGGGTTAGTGTTCCCACACGGCCATATCCACACGGCCATATCTCCATGTTATATTTTGATGTGATATGAAAGTAAAGGGCTTTATGTTTCTAGAACCATATCACAATTGAGAATCAATTCACGTTTAGATGGAGTATTTTGCTGTTTTGGCTGCCAGAGCCAGTCTACAGGGTCCTTGGACTTTAAGGAGTAATGGTAGGCTCCTTAAGAGTACATCGTGGGCTAACTTTTCATATGAAAATGTATCCAGAGTGACAGCAGCACACACGTTACAGTGGTCTAACCTTTTTCACTCGAGGCCCCCCTTCCAGCATTGGGGAACATCCCGTGAAGTAGCAGCATGACGACCAGGAAGACAACTTTCCCGAAGCGGATCCTTTGTTCGCACCCCACAGTGCAATTGAACTGATTCCAGAGGCCGACCCAAAACAACGCCGGAGGAGAGGTACTCGGAGCGGTCTTCTAGTCCGACTTAGTATATTACTCGCTAATGTTCAGTCTCTGGATAATAAAGTTGACGAGCTCAGGGAGAGGGTTTCTTTCCAGAGAGACATCAGGGATTGTAACATACTCTGTTTCACAGAAACCTGGGTCTCCCGGGATATACTGTCCGAGTCGGTCCAGCCAGTTGGGTTCTCAGTTCATCGCGCAGACAGGAATAAATATCTGTCCGGGAAGCAGAAGGGCGGAGGTGTATGTTTTATGATTAACGACTCATGGTGTAATTCTGATAACATACAGGAACTCAAGTCCTTTTGTTCACCCAACCCAGAATACCTCACAAACAAATGCCGACCATATTTTCTTCAGTTATAGTCACGGCCGTGTATATCCCCCCTCAAGCAGATACCATGACGGCCCTCAAAGAACTTCACTGGACTTTATGCAAACTGAAAACCACATATCCTGAGGCTGCATTTATTGTAGCTGGGGATTTTAACAAAGCAAATTTGAGGAAAAGGCTACTGAAGTTCTATCAACACATCGACTGTAGTACTCGCGCTGCTAAAACACTCGACCACTGCTACTCCAACTTCCGGGATGCATACAAGGCCCTCCTCCGCCCTCCTTTCGGCAAATCTGACCACGACTCCATTTTGCTCCTCCATTCCTATAGGCAGAAACTCAAACAGGAAGTACCCGTGCTAAGGACTATTCAACGCTGGTCTGACCAATCGGAATCCACACTTCAAGATTGTTTTGATCTCGCGGACTGGGATATGTTCCGGGTAGCTTCAGAGAATAATATCAACATATA